AGCCCCCCCCCCCCCGCCCCCCCCCCCCCCCCCCCCCCCCCCCCCCCCCCCCCCCCCCCCCCCCCCCCCCCGCCAGGAAGATGGGTACGCACATCCCCTCGGCGTTGCTTGTGATCTGGCTGACAACGGTGGTTTGGAGGTCTGCGTCGTTGGCGAGCAGGCGGCCGAGTCGGCCTTCGCTGCGGACTCGGCTATTCAGATAGTGCTTTATGTCTGCATCAGATGCTCGTATCTCCATTTGTAACTCTGGTTTGAGTCTAGATTCCGGGGAAGGGGAGAAGCGAGAAGTAACGAAGAGGTGAGCGTGCCGTTGTAAGCTGCTTAGTTCGGCAATGAACCTATCCATGTTCCCGTTCTGTCGTGAGCATTCGTCCAGCGCATCCACAAAGATGAAGCTTCTCGAGTATCGTTGGAGCTCGGACTGCAGGAGGGTAGATACCTCCGCTAGCGTTGGTCTCGTTCTCAGCTTTTGGTGTTGTCTGTACGCCGCAAGCAGCTTGGGGCTCAGTATGGGACTGACTCTCACAAGCTGCTCCAGTAAACTTGCAATCATTTTTTCAGATGTTTGCGTTTCCTCTTCCTTGTAGTTGAAATAGACGTATGCTACGCGTGCGTCCTGATCAAGCTTGTTGCTAAACCAATTTATAGCCAGGGATCTGGTTGAAATGTGATGGTCAGGAAAATGAATAGGGGCTTGCTACAGGGGTGCACTCTGAGCAGTTGCTGGTACGTACGTGAGAATCGTCTTGCCAGAGCCCGCTGCTGAGATGTCAGCACCTTGATTTTTTGAGATCACAAGAAGGAAGGTTCCCGTATCACTCACGCTGCCCGTGACACCAGAGTGTTCGGGGAGGTCCGTCACACCAACTGCCAAGGGCGCCATCCTCGAGAAACCATGTCCCAGTTCCATCATGGCGCCGAGAAAAATAGTCGCCTTGTCTTGTAGAGAAGTCGAGAGGTGATATCCACTGCAGGAGAGCCCGATGCTCACGATCTGCTTGAACAGTTAGCAGCCAAAGCGTAAACGACGGCGACGGGTGCGTGTTCAAAGGTATGATCACCTGCCTTGTTGCTCCTTCTCGGCGCGTACCTTGAGCTCAGTTACCCCCGTGTCTATATTTGCGGCCAGTCGACTTGGCGTATGGAGGTAATTAGTTGCAGCCATCAGGTTGTGAACAGGGGTTACGACGTACAAGTTGTCCGCGGTCAGGCGGAGGTTGATCAGAGACTTGAGTGATTCGATCAACCCTACAACTTCATCCACTTCCTGTTTTTCAAGTGGCCATGTCACCGATCTGAAAACCTTCCACCGGCTCGTTTGCCTCAACTTTCTAACTAGCCGATTTACAGCATCGGAAAGCCGATCCAGCGGTCCACCAGGTCCAAAGACCTGATCCAAGCCCGAATACTGATGGATTTTTTGGTTCTGCTGTTCGATATCGCTGCGAAATCTTGTAAGAAAAATGACGAGGTCGGCAGCTTCAACTGCAAGTCTATCTTTCTCCATGTTGGCCTTTTTGACCTGGTTAATAAATTTAATCAGTTCACCGACAGCGCTAAGCGTCTGGGCGACGCTCGCAATGAGGCCAAATGCCGAGATCGGGTCCATCGAGGGCTTGAAATTGGTGCCAAAACGGACATCTCAACTGGAAAGGGGACGTCAAGGGACTGCAGTTTTGCAATTTGAAGCAGGTGGGGGCGGCTGACCCAAGTTGACAGAGGCAAGCCCCCCTTATTGAAAGCCGCGTAAAAAGACCAAGGGAACTGCGCGTGGCATCTTCTCTTACCACAAGGGCAAGAGTCTCTGTGATTGGTCATTTGCTGTGAATTTCTGCTGCACTGCACCACCTCGGGCGGCATCTCGCATGCATTACGCCCGCCCCAAGAAAAGAAAACCCGCACAACTGGTCAAATGCGCAAATGGTCAGATACGTAGAATGAATGTGGGTAAGGTAGCATGTGTTTATTGCTATATGTCCGTTGATGCAGAGTTTTTGTCTGATCATAAACTAATTCACATGATGCTACGGCTGACCCATCCGACCACAAATCCCCCCACTTCATCACTTCCACAACACCCAGTCTCAAAGACCCAAAGCCATCACGCCTACGTGGCTAGTGCTACCCACGTTCACGAGGCCACCGACATTCTCGCCCTCACTGATGACTTCTTTAGCGGTCACCTTATTGTTATTATTCTCGTCCTAAAATTAGCATTCTACGAGTGAAGATTCGACATGTCTGACTGGGAGAGGTTGAATAGGCCGTCAGTCACTCACCGAATCCTCATCTTCACCGCTATTTTCGGTACCAAACTTGGCCACGGCCTCCAACGTCTGGCAGGGAACTCAAATTAGCGTACTGCCTTGTAGGTACCCGGGGTTTCCCCATCATTGGTGCCGGGGTATCTCTAGAAGGCAGTCCCGGGTCCTCCCGACTTACCTTCTGGGAAACTATGCCTGCATATCGCTTCGAATTAGCTGCCGACAGACGCTGGCATGAAGAAGAATGGATTGATGTCGCTGCTTACCCGTCAAAACGGCCTTAGCCTTGGATACAGACGCCACATTTGTCGCCCCCTTCAATGTCTTGCCCGTGTGCCTGATCTTCTCCACACCGATGCTCTGCGCTGGTTTGTTAGACGTTCCCACTCGATAGTCGCCTCTGTGCGCTGCATACCGGTTGAGAACCCGTGGTATTGCGTGGCTCCGCCGCATCCTGGACGTCAGGAGTGGCGGGTGCCTTGACCATTGTAGTAATGTTTGAGCCGCGGGGAGTGGGGGATGTCGCTACCGTTCCCCCCACCCTATGCCCTGTTCCTCTGAAGAATCCGTTATTGCGATTCATTCTCTGCGATATGGCGTTGGTTTGCCGGTTAAGAAACATGTACAATGGCAAGGGGGAGGGATCGCGATGATGAGTGTGGCTGATCTTCTGGGGGAAAGGCAACCGGGTTGGCTTTGGCTGGGTAGTACTTCAAGTGTCTCGTGTCTATATGTAGTTCGTGGGCACTGAGGCCCCTGGCCTTGAAGTTTGGCACAGGCTGGGTTGCGACCTTCATGCGAATCCCCCTCTTGGAGCCCAAAGCAGGCGTGGGTGTCGTTGGGATCAAGATTGCGCAGAGATGGGCTTGGAGGATGCGGTCCTGGCTCTGAGTTCCGGGATTCAAGCGAAGCCGGACAAGGCCATGCCACGTCATTAGTAGCAAGCAGGCTTCTGCAGACATTCGCTCTGACCTGTCACCACATGCAGATCTCACCGCCTGCAGGCGCTGGGGTGAATAATATGGGCTCTTGAAAGCGCGAAGATTGTTCATAATTAGGTTCTGATGGCCCCGTCCATCAAGGTGCTTGGTATGGTCTTTGACATTATCACGCCGTGTAGAGACACCTATGTCAGGCCTCAATTTGAACCCATATATGCATGTGCCGGGAATCTGCAGAAAGAAGCCCCATTTCATCTGCAAAGGGGAATGATTGGTGAGGACAAAACGTGTGCGCTTCGCTTGCTTGCAAACTGCGCAATGAGCAATGCAGCTGTGATTGGCGCTTTACACAAGAGGCACCATCCAGAGAGTTTTAGGCTTCGTGCACTTCCAAGTTGGGCAGACCACACTTCCAATCAGTCTTGTGTAGGTAACCCGAGCAGAGCCTCATAAGTACCGAGAGGTAGGTACTCAGTACCTGTGCCTTTGAAGGCATGACAGGGCTAGGGTCGATTATTTTGAGGCAGGCAAGGCTCTGACCTTTGGGTTCTTGCTGGTCTTCGAAAAGGCCATTTGGACTAGCCCCTCGGGAGAGGAGTTGCGGTAGACCCGGATCCTATCCCCTCTGTCCATCTGCATCGCTGAGATATGAGCCCCGCCACACGGTTGAAGATTCGGAGTAGCATTGTCGGAAAGATTCAGTCGTTGCTTCCAACCAGCCCGCTCGTCCCATAGTAACTCGCAAATCTGACCCGTTTCCGACGTGTAATATAGCCGGATATATGCTCTTTGAGTGAACCAGGAGATAGCCGAGAGAGAGGTGCGTTGAGGCGGCATCTTTGTCAGTGACGGCAAGCCTTGAATAGGTTGGAGTTTTAGTAACTGCCTCGGCCGTTCAAAAGCGTAGAGCTTGGCGGGAGCTGCCTAAGCCATGCTGGGTATCTGGGTGTCGGTGTACTTACTGGAGGTTGTCAGGACCTCTCCTTGGGATCGGTGCTCCCACAGCATGCCGTCGTCTTGGTAAAAAACGTGGTAGCTCGTCCCCTCACTGCCGGCATACGAGACTGAGGCGATGGCAGTACCTCTGTCTGCATTAGCCAACTCAGTGTAGCATAGCTCACGGACATTGAAGTCGTACGCGAGTTCGCAAAGCTTCGTATCGCCTGGAATTGTCAGTGTAACTGCCTGCCCCACGCGCTCTTTCGCCCCTCAACACCTCGAACTCACGTTGATAATACAACTTTGCACAGTTGGCTGATCGCAGGGCGCTTAGAGATGACCATGGTGAGATTTTGGGGGCCGTTTCAGCAGTCAGATAGCCTGCGGACCACCCGTTTCCCGGGGACCAGGCGAGATCACAAATGGTTCCACTGGTCGTCACATAGAACAGGTGGATCATGCTAGAACCGGGATAACTCAACGCTGCCAACCGTGTGCAGCTGGCCGCATCAGGGGCGTCGATTAGCTCTGCCACATACCAGCCCAGCTTGCCCCGGCAAAGTTCTACAATCGTAGAAGGGTTGTCATATGACTGGAAATAGACGCATTCCTTTGGTTCTGAAAAAGGCTGAGAAGCCGGATAGTAGGTGGATGCAATCGCATAGGGAGTGGGCCTAGCAGCATGTTAGACCCTGTGTGGGTAGGTATCTACCTAGCCATATGAGGAGTGTCGAATCGTGATTGCTCACATCTCTGGCTCGTCGTTCGGAGACACCGGTATTTCCATCAGCCATGGTCTCGGCAGCGCACTCTGTGACATCACCGATTCGTCAAGACTTGAGGCATCCGGTGTGTCGCTATGTGTGACAGTGACTGTGGATGGTCAATACCTATGCACCAACAGCGCCGTGTTGAAGACGGGCAGCAACTTACACAGCGGTCCGGTTACGTTAAGAGACTCTATGTTAAATATGGAAGCAATCGCCATAACTCCCGAATTTGACTCCATCTTGACAACCACATCTCCAGCTGTAGTAACGGCGTTTCCCGGTATGTTGTCCATTGAGAATTGGTAATTGTAGATGGTTGATGGTTGGGAGTAAAAATGTTTCGGTTGTGGTTATTTATCAGGAAACAAACAGTCCTGGGGCTTTTCGCGGCAATTTCCAATCACGTATCTGTGAGAAAAGGGGGTGGAAAGGTTGGCGCAGGTAAGGTAAGGTGGGGAAGCGCGAACAAGGGGGAGAGCAGCGGGAGAGGCGCAGCTTATCAAGAGATGTGCATGTGCTGTCTCTTAGCCACCAAGAGGCTCTGGCACATGCTCCAGTGCAGCCCGGCCATCTCGGAGCGAATGGACAATTAGTTCCCTTAGCACCGATATCGCGCGTTGGTAGGCAAGGCTGCGAATGTTCTCACACTCTCCGTTCATGAATTTTGAGCCATACTGATACCTGTTTGTACTAAGGAAACGTGTTAATTACGAATAATTGTGGACTGTAACTTGCGCCGAGACAACTCGGAACTGAACGATCCTAGACTCTTCTCCATCCATCTACCCTACCCTTGGAAGGTGAATCTGAGCGTGACCTAGCGGCTGGTCCTCCATAGTCAGAGCCCTGTATGTTAGACTCCCCTGGGAAGCCCCGATTGTCTCCTCTATACGATAATCGAATTTGATTGCCCTTTCCCTGCTGTTGAACATTTGCACCTCATACTTCTTCAGTTCAACCGCTGATAGATGCACTTCCAGATTCCCTACAATTTGAACGAGGTCTGCATCAGGTCACATCAAGTCAGAAACCTGTAAGCTCCACTAACATTAGGTACTCACCCAGATAGCACTATGTGGGGAGTACTACGTGGGTCATGGGGGTTTGCACCTTCAGAGAAATGTCTGGGAGCGTGGGTAGCACCGCAACAGACGATGCTTGCAGAAAAATGTTTCTGCCTCGGTGAAAGACGGTGATAGTATGACGCAGTCTTTTTCGAATGCTCCGTCACTTCGTCCCCCTATTCACCGGTTAGACTATCCAGAGCACCCGCCACAGTCCGTGGGTGCCACTCGATCGATGGTTAACTCTACCTTGGTAGGTAGGTAGGTACCTACCTTCTTGGAATACCAATCAACACAGTTTGAAACGAACATGCGTCCGGTCAAATTGCATCGATACATCTTATCTGAGTGCTTTGCGTCGAGGTCTGCGCGATATATCAAATCGCAGAGGATGCCGCAGTGGAAACGGGATAGCCGTGTCTCGATATCGATACGTTCCAAGCCTCCAAGTACAGCGCCGCAAGCGACCGCACCCCAGCTACAGCAGTTAGTGGTTGACCCCATCCCAGTAGGGTAAGGTAGGTAGGTATCTTCTTACCTGTCGTCATTACTCAAAAAGGTTGCCTCTATGTTGTTTTGGCTACACCATTCCTTCACACGCGACTGGAGGTACTGTGATCGGGCAAACCCGCCAGCAAGCATGAGTCGCTATAAACAGTTAGGGCTCTCGAGCTCTCAAGTGCAACGTTGCAGTGGGGATTGGATACATTGACCTTGGAAGCCCTCTTGCTTCGTGTGGCGGCTTTATGTTGCGCTGCGATTAACTCCATCACTCTCTCCACAGTAGGTCGAAAGATTGCATCCATGTCAGACCTAGGTATGAGAGAAAATCCAACGTTAGCCAAGTATCTACCTAAGGTAGGTAGGTGCCTCGTACAGCTGAGACCAGGGACCGCCAGAGAATCTGAGCACCTACCTCGTTAACCTAACAGTGCCATCCCGGTCATCATACCATTCTTCCATGTCCGGTACGTCCGTATCTACACCATCCATGAACAGTTCCATCTCGAATAGGGGCGGATCATCTCCGGCGCCAAACGCATGCTTGTGTGTCTCGAATTTCTTCATGAAAACGGAGCCAAACTTCTTCTCGCTTGGGTCCAAGTTTTCGTATGCCTTGCCAAAACGTTCCAGCATAAACTTGTCAAACTGGAGGTCAATGCATGAAGACCCGCACTTCCCGCCTATAACGCACACCCCTTGCGGTTAATGTCTGTCCACTCAGCGAGTATTTCCCAGATGTGAAGAGATAGCTTACCTTCCCCCGACACAACTTCCTTGACCTTTATCGGGCTTATGGAAGAGACCATGTAAACGGCCACGTCCTAAACACGTCAATGGGTCAGCGATGCGGACTGGAGACCCCGATAGCAGCCCCAAATATTTGAAGTTGTGTCTCTTGGCTCTGCATCCGCCTTCGGCAACAGCCAAGTAAAAGGTAATTACCACTGTTCCACCTCCACAGTCGCATATCATTACAGTGTCCCCGGCCTAGACACGTTGTCAGCGGTGTGTTCATTCATCTTGGCTACCTACATCCATGTATAGTACTCAGGTCTCGGGTATCACACACATTGAGGTCATCATCGGCCGCTGCCTGCCTGAGCAAAGTAAATGCGGCAGCATCTGCCTCTGTGACAAAATTGAATTCATCCTCGGGCCTGAAAAACTCGGCATGGTCGGCTGCTGTCCGCACAATTTTCTGCAGCCTGAGCTGGGCCTGATTGCCCCAGATGGCCGGCTTCGCCAACCACCACTGGATTGTGGTCACATCGAGAAGTGCACTGCCGAGAGCGCCAACAGATTCGGTAAGGTGCCGGACGGCGAATTTGAAGACTTCCTTCAGGTAGTCGATGGTCACCTCATCGGGCGTTTTGGTCCGTTCGACGCTAAAGAGGCCGGTGCTGATGGCCTCGGTGAGACCGGGGTCGTCGTACTTGGTAGATGGATAGTTCTTGTCCAGATGGTACTTCATCCATGCGCAAATGTTGCTCTGCGCTCCGATTTGGTAGCCCCATGGCATACTGTCGATCCCCGGGAGGTAGGCGATCAAAGTCGGGTTCTTCTGCGCCGTTTTCAGGGCCCCGTTGGCAGTGGGCCATTTGTCCACGGCCATGACTTCATCATCGTCGCTCCAGGCGTAGCTGATTCCTAGATTCGAGGCAATTGTTAGGTGGCGGTTACGAACAGACACATCCAATTTGCACTGCTTGCCTGTGTGGGTTGTTCCGAAATCCAGACCGACGATGAGTTTCCGGAGTTGAGGACCATAATTTGTCATGTTGAGGATTGAGTGCAATCTTCACTTGTGCAGTTGTTACGTCGTTTGCCGTCTCAGTACGTGGTGAAGTTGATGGTCACCTCAGGAAAGCTTCGATCTTGCAGGTTGGCAGAGTTTCCAGTTGAGTCGACAATTTGAATGACAACCCAAGTTCGAGACTTTGGCCACAGTTTCTTCTGGGTCGCGCCGAAGTCGCAAAGCATCGAGATTCTCAACCTGGATTCTTTGTACTACCTCCAGGCTTCTTGGAAAGTACAGGGTACTTCGGCATTCCGACCGAGAACCACAGAGCCGCATCGGTTGACCCGATCTGTCGTTGCCGGAATGTGTGAAGAAGCCTGGCAAGCGTGTGACTGACGTGGCATGCCGGCGAAGACCATGGGATGTTGAAAGTTGTACAAGGTGGGTTGGGTGTGGATTCTATTTGTCGAAGGGCTCCACTTATTAGAGCGAGGGGCAATTTTTGAGGCTGTTGACATCTCTACCTCTATTGCCCCCTCATACGAGAAACTGTCTAACCACCCAACGCGTGAGGCTGACGACCCAACATCGAAGTTGACTACACGTGTTTGGCTCTCAGAAAATACCGAGACTCAGACTTGACCATTCACACTCAATTCCATCCTATCTGGGTAACCCGAGCGCTCACAGTCCTGGAGGTCTTCCTGTTCTGCAACTCCGCGGAGCCAGGTACCCCCGGTTCACCCAGGGCTGGATTCGAGAGAAATCCTCGACCAGAATGCCAGGTGTAGCCTGAGGTTGTGGACCGCCTGCGGAAGACGTCAATACCCTGCGTTCATGTTTGGGCTTGGGCGACTCAACGAGCCATCAAATCCCAACATACGTGTCCAACGCGGATACTTGGGCCCATCTGCAAGACAGGTTCCATGGTCGGTGGCCTGGGAGCCGATGCATCATTCGCGGCTGTCATGTCGAAATAAGGCGTGGCTTGGCGGATACACCGGAGTCGGCCTATTGTTAGGCCGCAAAGACATGTACACTCCCTTGCGACGACCAATAAGTGGGAGGTAGGCAGCACAGCATGAGCAACAATGCTCCAGTCAGTCGACACCTACACCACGTCTGGCTTTCCGCTCTATCCTTGCCACTTTGCTGGGCTTCCAGGCCGCTATCGAGTCTACAGACCAACTGAACTGGTTGTCGTGCGTGAAAATGGCCAGGATCAAGGCAAAGCATTTCAGAGGAACATATCCTGGGTCTTGGGCGGATAATGATGAAGACGACGTGGCCAGTGGCCCACAACGCGGCAACCGGAACTCAGTTCCCGCCCCTCGTGAGGCGACAGTGGAGAGGACAGCTCCAAACCTTGTGCTCGGGAACAGCCCTATTGGCCCTGAGCGGTCAGACAATTCTCGCACAAGTTACGAATTCCCTGTTGAAGATCAGGAGACTGTCCGTCAGGAGCTGGACAGCACCGAAGCAAGCAACTGGGCACCGAGTCAGCATTTATGCGACAAACAAGCAACTCAGAACACCTCACCTGCTGGAACCACCGAGAACGAAAACACAGAAGGCATTGGTACCCTCCCAGACAGCACGATGGGCAGAAAGGGTGAGACCAAAAGCCCATCCGATCAGCGCTTGGGTTGGGACATGCATCCATTCACGAAGTCAAAGAAGGCACCCAACCTGGATCGAAATTTTCAGGATGACAGCGACACCCTACGAGAGGCCATCCCAGAGGAGAGTAAAGACGGGCTTGGAAATGACCCTGTCCAGACGACTACTAGTATCAACAATCGGTTGCGCCGAAGAGAACAGAAAAAGGAGGCCAAGGACTCAAGAAACAAGGACAAAGGGAAGGGGGGAGTGGCCCGAAGAGGCAAGAAGGGAGCCGTGCTCCTTCCGGAGAAGCCGCCAATCGACTCACCGGAGCTAAGGGCCGCGGAAGCTGTGATATCTCAGTTGCGGGAAGAAATTCGACAACTGAAATCAAGGCCCAATGCGGCGGAAACCGAGGACAACACCCCCGACCGTCTGGGCACAGTTCTGGAAACCCAATCGGACATTGCGACAGAAGACGACGGTCAGAGGGAGGAAGAAGTTTTGAGGCTCAAGGAGAGGCTCGATATGAAGAATGAAGAGTTGGAGAAGACCAAGGACACGGTGGCTAAGCTGGAGAAGGACAACAATGGTCTTAGGTCAGAGCTCTGCGACTTGAAGAAACAGGAAACCGACGCCAATTCCCGACAGCATGAGCACCTCAGGACAGCCCTGGCAACTACAAAAAGAGAGGAGGAACGTCTCCGAGAGGATCTTCGCGAGAGGGATGCGGGCATCGAAAGTCTCAACGCAAAACTCTCTCGTGACAGACGGAGTGCCGAGCTTGTCGAAATCAAGAACCAGGAGTTGAAGGAGAGAGTCTCCGAGTGCGAAGCTGAGGTGGGACCACTTCTCAAACGCGTTTCAGACCTCGATGGAAAGTTGCGAGACGCGAAGAAAGAAAGTCGCGGTCGTGAAGAGGAGCTAGCCCAGCTAAAGTCGGCCGCGGAGGTTGTGTCTGCCGAGCTGGAGCAGAAGCTCGCTGACGCGAAAAGAGAAGCTCACACTCAGCGCGAGAGAGCGGATGATCTTGCGATTCGACTTGAATCGGCGGAATATTCGGACCAAGAGAACTGCCATCGTGCCGACATGGAATCCCAGAAAGCAAAAGCCCAGGAAGTTGAAGTCCAAAAGCTCACATCGCAATTCACAAACCTCCGGTCAGAAGCCGAAAGATCCACGTCGAAGCTCCAAGGCGCCCTCCGAGACCTGGAACTAAAAGCAACGGAGGCAGAGAATTACCGGCAAAAGGCATCCGAGTTGACATCCAGGGTTGAATCACTGGAGAAGGAGGCCCAAAACAGCGTTCGGAAACATACCGAACTTGGACAACACTACCGGGAAGTGCGGCAACAACTCCAAGAGTCCCGGCAACATAAATCTTCCCTGGATGTCGAAAGTAAGCAGCTGCGGTTCAAGCTCGACGAGTCCCGTCGAAGCATCGAGGTCCTCACGAAAGAAAACACCGAGTTGCAGATGGAGCTCACTCAAGTTCAAGAAGAGAAGTCGAAGTCTACAAGACGCGCGGGACGTGCGGAACAGCAGTTCCAGGAGTCCGAACAGCGGCGATCCTCTTTGGAGGCCGAAACCAAGCAGCTGCAGCTCCAGCTTGACGGGTCCCGCCGTGACATGGATGAACTCGCAAAGCAAAAAGCCCAGTTACAAACCAAGCTGGTTGAGACCCAAGCCCAGGCGACCACGTCGGCAGAGCTCGCAGAGCTGCACCTTGAAGAGTCTCGACAGCAAGGGGCAAAGTTCCAGGCTCAGTGCGAGACTTTGCGAGAACAGTTGCTGGACGATCAGCATCGAATGTCCACCAACACAGCCGAGATGGACCGATTGACGAGGCAACTCAGTGGCTCCCGGCAGGAAGTCTCCGCCCTCAAACAAGCATCGGACCGACTACAGGCGTCCAGCGAGACAACTCGTCGGGTACTGACCACACAGCTTCAAGAGGCCATAACCAACGCCAAGAAACACAAAGAGGACGCGGCACGCGCCGAGGCCAAAGCGGATGCATTCAAGTTGGAAGCCGAGGCGGACCGCAAACGCTCGCAGGGCTCTGCCGAGCAGGTGAAACAGCTGGAGGAGGTGCTGCATTGCGTGCAGAGCAGGTTGCAAAGGGAGAAGGGCGAGAATCTACAAAATCAAGTGTCTGCCGAGGGCTACAAAGCCAAGACGGACAAGCTGTCCTCGGAGGTTGTCGACCTCCACAACGACCTGGAGCGCACCAAGGCCGGTTTGGAGAGCCTGAGGGAGAGCTACAACGTCCTTCGTGCGGGAGGCGACGTGACGAGGAAGCTCGAGTCGCAACTCCAAGACAGCCAGAATGAAGTCGCGGAGCTAAAGAAGAGGCTGGAGAAGCAGGAAAAGTTCATCGCACACGCGCAGGACGCGGCTCGGCAGAAGATGAAGGACGATAGGAAGGAGAAAAGCCAGTCTGTGGACGATGAGGAGTTGGAGGGCAGGTTGCAGGTGGATATCGAGGCCAGAGCCCGGCAGTGGGCATACGCGTACGGCGTCCGAAAGGTAAAGGGCGACCTTCCCGAAACAGCATACCAAGCTCTGAAGGAGGAGTTTGGGAACGTCACCGGCGGAGGAGACATGGCGTCCTTGTGTAAGCGTTATGATGCCGACATTGTTCTTCATGGCTTGCTGGTGTGTTTTGTCACGGAACATATCCTGAGCAAGCCTTTCTTGTTGTTCGAGCTGGAAGCGGGACAAGCCTTCGCCGAGAGAATGGCCAAGTGGTACGAAGGGAGATTGGAAAGTATGTTCTGCCCTGTGCGTAGTCTGAATCATCCAGATACAAGGATTGCTGACGCGTTTTGCTTTCCAGTTGATAAACCAAGCGCGTACAAGTGGAGATATCAAGAACTCCAATGGTTGGGCGGATCCATGCTGCCGACTCAGTCAAAGTCCTGGCCGGGCGATGTACCGGCCCTGTTGGCCGAGGACGGGGATTTCTTTGACGACCTCGCCAAGCGATTCATCAACAGCCCGGCCAAGTTTCTGCTGAAATATGAAGCCGCCCAAGCACCTTCCAGCCTTCGGCCCCTGAAAACCTTCTTCACGAAGGCCGCCCAAGTTGGGCTTATGATGTGGACGCAGCCCTTCGAGGTTGAGATCAGAGGTTTTAACCATTTACGCGGCTTGCGCTTCACGACGGACTCGGCAGACGCCGAAGCCAAGACTCATTCGTCTCAGCTCAACCCTCGCCGGCGACCAAGTAGCGATGCTGTTGTGGACTTCGTGGTGCAGCCGAGCATTGTTGCGCGGCCAGAACAGGGTATGGAAAAGGTATGGGGCCAGGCAGTTGTTCTGTGGAATTAAAGGACATGGGGGAAGTTGGTGCACTTCACTTCAATTGAGAGGCGGTGTATTTATGAAGACCCGGCGACTTGATCAATGAACGGGCCGATCCCCAGGCTCGCCGCCGGTCGAGGGCACGAGATGGTGGTCCGAGCGTGGGATCTGATCGGTGGTCGTGCAGGGGAATATGGAGCAATCAGATTTCGGCAGTCCCTACCACGGCACCTGTATCCCCCCCAACCTTAAGAATACCAGGCAACGTTCTCTATCAAGAACGTTCGAGCCAGCGCCCATGTCGCATCTCGTGATTCGCCCGAAAATCCCAATCTTTACTAGACATGCAAGGTGGGCCGCCCTTGGCACCAACAGGCTCTTCCAGGCACACTTCATCCACGCAACAAGGGCAAGACGACTCACCGGCGCCGAGAGAGCGCGCGTGAAAGCGTACCTCGATGCGGAGCACAAAGCCATGGCCGAGATCACCGAATACGACCCCGACCGCATCAGAGAAGCGCGTGCGGCAGTCATGCAAGCCCACCCCATCGACGCGGCCCTTCGCGAGGCATATTCCGCGGAGCTTCTCAAGAATATGGCCGACCCATTGGACCCCATGGATAAGGCCCTCAATTGCCCGTTCCTCAAGCCCGACGCGCCTTGGGGATTGGTTGTGTACCGCGTTTCGTATGGCGATGATGCTGCGTGGGAGCATATCCTTGCCCAGATCAACGAGAATCTAAAAGAATCTCTTGAGGGCAACGACAGGCAGGATTTGCTTGCGCGACACCAGTTGGTGGTGATGAATAACCGCTTGCAGTTTGATGGTGCAACCACCGATCAGGTCCGCAAGCATTTTAGCAAGTGGGTGGTGGATGAGCTGAGGCGCAATTGGCAGGATCAACCTATTCCGGATGATCAAGTCGCCAAACTTGGGGCTGACGATGGGATGATATATTCCGCAGGTACGCGATACAACTTCTGCTTGTTGGTCGACAATGTGTGCCTGGAGTCGCTTGCCAAGATGCCCAGTCCCGTAGTGAAGCTAGTCGAGAAGCGCTGGGTGCCCGATGTGCAAGATCTAGGTAAAGAGGAAGGAGAAGGGGACAATTCTGGCTGGGAAGGGGGAGTGACAAACAACGAGTTTGAGGATGTGGGCTGGATGTATATGTATGTCCACGACTACGTGGACATTCAGAACTACTTGCACGGAGACAATTGGACCGACAACTACGTGCGGCCACCTCTCATGCGTTTTGAGAGCAAGTTTGAAACAGCACCAGGATTTTGGCGAAGGGATGGGAAGTCTTCCGACCGGCAATGATTGTCGGTGCGATCGGTGGAGCTGTCGATGGTTATAGAACTACGGAGGCGACAGAGTAATAAGTTAACCAAAGTCGATACAAAAGTATGACTTTGAATCTGGTCATCCATCCATCTTGTAGGCCATCTCGGCCAAGCAGGCGGAGAGACAGAGTTGAGTTCCAATTGGTCCCACATCATGCATATCTGACGGACTACTAATAAGCAGCAACCAAACCAGCAACTTCCAGGAGGAGCCTTGCACGCAAGGAGTCACTCCCGCCTTTGTCGTGGCAAGCACACTTTTTATTACAATTCTCGATTCTTTTTCAAAAAGACCGTGTCCAAGTTTTATTTATTTCGAGAAAAAAAAGCGATGACGTACGATGCATACGTAATGATGATGCTGGCACTTGTCCTGTGCTCTCCCCACTCCTGAAGCTCGCTACAGGGAAGCCAGCGAGTACCCTTTTATCAGATTCCTTCCATCCTACCTCGCAATATCCCCCCGAGTCTTTCCCCCGATACTGTCACTTAGCCTTTCAAGCCCGCAAGAAACAACAGATATCCATCCACTCTCATCGTAGAAACACGCTCAAACCACTCCATCATGTACATTCAAGTTCCCAGCATTCAAAGCGTACTCACCGCAGGCCTAGCCCTGACTGGCACGCTAACCAAACGTAAGCCTGATCTCTGTCCTCCTTTCTGATTAGTATATGCTTCTCGCCTCCAAATTCAATGAACTACTCGATCGCCCTTGCTGATCGCAAAAAACCCCCTCTTCTCAGCTTCCACGGTTGCTGAAGGCAAGGTCATGGACTACGCTGTCGAGAAATGCCACGACGATGATGGCAACACACGCTGCTCCAAGCCGTTCCTAGTCACGAAATCTACGTGCTACAAGATCGAGTGGAGCACCGAGGGCGCGCTCACGCATACTACAGCCGAGGTGCGCGACGCCGGGTCCGACGAGCTGGTGTACTACCGCGATACCGATGGGGAATGGACTCCAAAGAAGGGCGAGGTGAGCCATGATTATGGATAGGTGATATGAAGGTGTGCTAATGTGGGACGTAGCTGGTGTATTTGGACTTTAAGCCCAAAGTCGTGGGGACAGGGAATGATACTATCGAGTATAAGGTCCTGACCTGTGAATAAGAGGTTGGGTTTAGGCCTTGGGGACTTTGTTACATTAATAAGAGGTCTAGAAATATAGGCTTAATGTAGACAGCTTCAAAACAAACTAAACCTTTTTTCTTAGACTCTAATTATTATGTAGGACTAGAAGAATCACAAGGGGGCTGAAGTGTTCCTACAGGGTACAGTTCGTTGCTGATACCCGCAGGACCCTTCTATTTTCAATGATGGATCCTCAACTTACCTAACCAGTCCAGTAGAAATTACTCGTAGGCTTCATCTCTGTATCGTGGACTGTAGAACATTGCTTATGCCATTCGGGTTGAATAAAATTCATCAACTGGGGCTATGGACCAGCACATCATTATTGGATCACCAAGCAACTAAAAGAAAGATAGAGAAACTTACCATCGAATCAGCCCAAACTCACCTGAGCCTCAGTTGGGATTTAGTCGCGAGGTTATCTGGGTAAACTAGACTCACCTTCGCAGAGCGAGAGAGGGAGTCAACTGAAAGCGTCGTAAAAGCCGGGTTTCTCCCTTAATCTTTTTATCAACCCTCTTTTCGGGCCATCGGAGCATAGGTTGATAGGTCAGGGGTACTCTTGAGTCACAACACACAACAATTACCATCATCGCAATCGTCAACGTTGCTGGGTTGTCCGTGAATTCTGGATATTAATCACGTGCAGTCATCAAATTACCGCAGGCTTGTCTGCATCTGGACTCGTCGCCGTCGGCCTCATGGTCAATAGATCGGCCCAATGCCCTGATGCAGCCGTTTCCCCCGGATCTATGCATGCTGTAATTATTTTGTTCAGTTACCTTGTCAGTTTTGGCTCAGAGCGGGGGGTTCATTCGGAGTCACCTCTGATTGGTTGAGATGAACGACCAGGCGGATCTCGAACACAGGATGATTCGAGATCCCATCGATCGTCCCAGCTCGGCCAGTTAGCGTGGCCGACCTTATTTCTCCAAATGGAGCAACTCCGGAGGCTGAGCCTGTGTTCATGCAATTTTTTCAGTTTTTGCAGATCTGGGTGGCGCGTCCGTTCCAGAAGTCTCAGAATCGCACCCCTGTCGTTTGACGGCGGACGATCAAACGACCAACGGGGATGACCTATTCGGGAAGGGTGGAGTGGCGTCGAATGGGGTGCAGCACCAGGCCCATCGCCAGAAATCAGCCTACTGCAAATACATGCGTAGAATTGAACTTGAAGCTGCCTTGGGTCATTTCCCAGGCTACGAAGGGGACCTCTCCTGTCAGACTGTCAGACTTTCGTCGCAGGAAACTGGTCGAGACCACGAGTACGACGTCTCAGCCGCCTGATCCAATGGCATGTTAGGCTAACGGTCCGTAACGGGCCGCCAGCATCAGGCCTGTCGTTGCCACCCCCAAGCTCGAAACATGTTCATGACAGGGGGCTCATGCCCTGCGACGGGAATTGCTTCGCACCTGAGATGGCAGGGGCATTAGCCCAAGAAGAGATGATCGCCTGCGGGCGAGGCAGATCATCTGATGTTTTTGACATGTGCTTGCCCTCAGCCGTCCGAGTCCGTACAAATAGGAACACCATCTCCCCGGGACCGGTATTTGGGATCTGCTTCTCAGAACATCACAGACGGCATTTAACTTACTTCGTCGATCATTGAGCATCAGAGGACCAGGCGTCTCAAGCCGGCATAATCTTGTTTCTTTTCGTTTCTCTTCTTGCAGATCGAAACATTCCTTTCGCATCACCAAACACTCGTTTTCTACACCCAAGCTCGATCACCATCACAACCGCCAACATGGTCTGCCTCTCAACCATCTCAGCCTCCCTAGCCCGTAAGTCTCCCCCAATAACCCCCCCAACATCCACCCCAGCTAACTCTCCACAGTCGCCATAACCGTCCTCGCCCTCCCCTCCCCCCTGACCGCAGACCCCGCCGGCGCGAAGAACGTCGGCAACGGACAGGGCGTCCAGTTCATCACGGGCGCGTGCCTCTCCGACGCGGATTGCGCCTCGGGCTGCTGCGCCGGCTTCAGCGGCGGGGGCATCTGCTCCGGCCCCGCTGTTTCCTTCGCGCAGGGAAAGCAGGGGTGCGGGTTCGGCGGGTCCGGTTCGGGTTCGGGTTCGGGTTCTGGCTCCGGCTCCGGCTCCGGCTCCGGCTTCGGCTCCGGCTCCAGCTCGGGCCAGGGGACAGTCAACGAGGGGACAGTTGGAGCGGGTGCGGGCGCGGGAGCGGGAGCGGGCGCGGGCACCGTCAATCTGAATCTGGCGGGGTCGCAGAACGTCGGCAAGGGGGATGGGTCGCAGTTCATCACGGGCCAGTGCTTTAGCAATGCGGACTGCGCGTCCACGTGTTGTAATAAGGCCACGGGCTTGTGTAACGCCATTGGTGCCATTGGCATTGAGAACTGCGGTTTCGTGGCTGGGGCTTGAGGGCTTGAGGGCTTGAGGGGGGTGGGGTTTTGTGCCGGTTTTTTCTTTTCTTTGTCGGTCCTTCTTCTCAATGTTTCTTCTGTTCTCATCTACGGCTGGCCGGCTGGTATAATAAGATGCATCGTATTAGGGCGGGCATGAGGGTCAGTACCGGTGATTATTCTTGCTGGGCATGGACTGTTCTGTTTCTTCGGGGGACTCTGGTGTAAATTTGGTGTGGCCTGATTCAAAAGAGCTAATAACCTTTACCTTGGTATCCAAGCTCCCGTCGTGCGATTTGCGCGAGTAATTGAATGTTGTCAATTGGGAGGAGTGGTGAGCCTTAAAGTACATGAGTGAGGGCATTCGGACTGTAGATTAAATGCCCTGCATGGTGAATTGACTGGCTGATTAGCTGTGGCGCAGCCTGGATCCGAGTATCGGTGCGACCTGGCAGCCTGGCTATACTTAGGCAGCAGGTAGACCGTCCCCCCAGCCTTGATGGGGTTGAATAGTCCACCGTCGTCCAGCACGCACTTTCGTGGGGAACCACTTTGCACTTTTCCCCTTGGTCTATTTCTACCACTGAATTTTCCTACTCAAGATTCGTCCATCTAGATTGATTGTTCTTTGGTCTTATCCCTCCTGATCTCCTCCTTTACTACCGCCGACCACCCTCCTTGGATCACGATGGAGGAGAGCTTGGCAAGCACTCCGCCCGCGCCCCGGTATACCGGGATGCGATATTTGGATATGGACACGGCAGATATCATGTCGATTATGATCAACTATTCATACAATGGAGCATGGTACTGTGTCCTCGTTGGCGCTCAAGAAGCTCGACCAGGCTATGAACTGGATCAATCTATCGAAGGGAAGATCTTAATCGAGCTTAGCGACCTGTCTTGGGGCGAAGAAAGCGAGGAGAAAGACAGAAAGATCACCCAACTTCAGTCAGATCTTGCAAGGCTCGCTGGGGATGCCTGCCTCTTGCTCATGAAAACACTGACACCACTTCCTGTCCCAGAGGAGCAAACCTTCCAGGATCATTTGTATCCGGAGATCCACACGCTGCAGGTCTTCACCGAAGGTGGCAAACTCGTCTCCCACAAGCTGGATGGCTATGACTTGCCCGAAAGACACCCTCCTATCCCCGAGTCTAGGCTTCAAGAGATTGGTCTCGACGATACCATCCCGGTTCTCAAGCCGTCAGAGATTATGTTAGGCACACGCCTCCAGGGCCTTGTCTGGAAAGTGAACGTCAACGGAGAAGATATGATCTGCAAGATAACGTTTGACATATTCGAAGACGCAATCGGCCGGGAGCTCGAAACGTACCAGAAGATTAGGAATGCAGATCTTGGGAACGACCTGAAGGTTCCCCAGCTGAAAGGTAAGCATCTGACATCCCGACTGGAAACATTTCCCAAGACTAACACCACTATGTTTCTGTCCCAGGAATCATTCAATCCCACACCGGCGTGGTCGGGGTTCTCCTCGGCTACATCCCGCACAAGCACCACAACCTGCGCCTGCTGCTGCAGGATGTTGGGGACGGCACCCTCCCGGAGACAGAGGCCACGGCGTCGATGAAGCGGAAGTGGGCTGGGCAGATCAAGCAGTCGCTTGCGCATCTGCATAAGCTGGGGATTCTGTGGGGGGACATCAAGACGGACAATGTTCTGATTGACGATAATGGCGACGCTTATCTTGTTGACTTTGGCGGGGGGAACACCGTGGGCTGGGTTGACCATGATAAGTATGACACTGTGGAAGGGGACTTGCAGGGGCTGCAGAAGATGCTAGTGGCGCTTGGGGAGGAGTGATTTGAGATTCTATGTTTGGATAGCCCTGCTTCTGATAATAAGAGTGCGAATTCTCTCTGTGACGCCGTGTAATCCTTCCAAGGCCAGGTCTATTGAAGCAAAAGTTGGCCCTGCCGAGGAGACCTCAGTCACATCACAAATTGCTGCTCAGCCCCCTACAATACCGTTCGCCTGGCCACATAACTATGCCCACCCCCTTTCCAACCTCAATACACTGCAAAGTATTCCATCCCAAGAATTCGAACAGTTTCCATGACCTTTCCCATGACCTATCTTCCACCCGCCCACGTCTCCTCCTGATAGTCCCAGCTATTCAAGCAACAAATTCCCACACTCCAAATACCCACCCCCCTCGCAGTCATGATCGCCAAAGAACAAGCACAGTCCCACAACACCAACACCGCCGGATAGATGTGCAGCGGCAAAAACACCGCCGGGCTGAGCGCCGCAACGGCCACGAACACCACCTCGACGACGGAGAGCATGGCGGACAAGGGAGCGGCAGTCTGCGTCGGCAAGTCGAGGACGTGTTGAGATGCGAGGACGGCGACAACGGCGAAGAGCTGTAGAACCACCCGGGCTAGGACGAGGACTATTATGGTCACTGCTGCAAATATTCTCCTCCGCAAGGGAGTGCTTGCCGATGGTGTCTTGGTGTCGGCGGCTTGGGACGACATCGTTGGTGGGGATTTTTGGAAGGTTATGACGGAGGGATGCCTCTGGAAGAATCCTTGGTGTCTGAGATGGCAGGTGGGGTTGGGATGACAAGCTGTGGCAAGGGGGAAGCTTCCATGTTGTAGGTTGACATTATATAGAGGGTATCCGGTCTGCAACAGCGCAGGGCAGGCTCGCTCATCTGGATAACAATGGAAGACTACATAATGTTAGCTTGAGCCATTAGTGCGTGGGCGATCGTTTCTTCTTTACCAGGTGAAGCAGGGCGTTCCATTCACGGCTTTGTTAGACACTCGCCGCCATTCACCCTTCAGCTCTGTCACCCAGATCCCGGCCAACTTCTGCCAACTAGAGATCTGCCATACAAAGAATGATACGGAAGCAAAGACGACTAGAAGTGTGAATAATGACATCTGACAAAATTGAAGTTGGTGGATGGTAAATGGAAGATAATCATATGCGTGAGACTCAAACATGGCGCTGTGTGATGATATGATGAATGGACATTCAGGTAAAAAGAACAAACGCCTTCACCTCATCCCTTTATGCTTGCCTTCCTAACTTCGTCTGGTTCTTGGCTATGAACCCTGAGATGCTGCGTAGATCACCCAAATCCTCCCCACTACAGTTGAGCCCCTTGCTGATTAGCTCACGTTGGGTGTCAGACGCCCCCTCCAACCATCGAGCCCAATGCCAGCGTACGGCCCCGAGTCAGCGGCAGCCGGTGCGTGCCCAAGGACTGCAGCTCGGGGATCGCGCTCAAGTTTCCAAAGTCCATACCTACCCACCACCATCTCCTCCTCCTCCTCCGCACCCACCCCCTCCGCACCCACCACCGCCACCACCTCCGTGACCTCCACCTCCATCGCCGCTGCTGCCGCATGCCCCACTGCCGTTACCACACGCACCGGTATCACGAGCACCACTAACACCACCACATCCCTAACAGAACCAAACGTTAGCGACCATCAACCAGAAAGGTGGGAGCCTAGAGGAGCAAATCCATACCCCAGCACCCCCACACGCCCCAGCAGCAACCCCGCCACCACAGCTCCCCGCCGCACACGCAGCCCACGCCCCAGCCCCGCACCCAGCCACGTACCCCGGCGGCCAGGCGTAGTACATACCCGGCGCCAGCCACAGCGGATACATGTAGGGCCCGTACGCGGCGTACGGGTACCCCCAGTGGTGGTAGTACTCGTCGCGGGGCGGCAGCCGGCGGCCCTTTTTGTCGGCGCGGCGGCGCGCGCGCGCGTACGCCTCGTCCAGGCGCCGGCGGTGGGCGGCGCGCATCTGGGCTTGGACTTGCACGCGGAGGCTGCTGTTGTTGCCGCCGGCGCGCATCGGTGCCGCCGCCGTTGGGTGGTCCGGGGCCTTGACGGCGTTGTGGGCGGAGATATGGGCGGATCGGTCGGGGGGGCAGAGGGATGCTGCGCCGGAGTTGTGGAAGGACTCGGCGACTGGGCGGCGTTGGAGGGGTGTTAGTTGGGCAGAAGAAGGGGAGTGGATAGATACAGAGGAGTTTCGGAGGAATTAACTGACCTTTTTCGTGTTTCGAGATGCCGAGGACTTTGCCGAGTGGGGATATGTGCGTTGTACGGATTGCTTGAGCCAACTTGTGAGCCCGCGTCTCGAGAAATGGTCTCGATAAGGGGTTGCTTACCCTCGCAATACCAGCAAGTGCATTCGCTGTACACCTCACCATAGGTCTCCTGGTACACCTTGCTGGTCCATTCGAAGCTGGTGCTCAGCGCAGACTCCTCTATCTTATCGTCGTGATCGATGAGTTTGGACGTCCTCATAATGCTGTACACGTAATAGGAGCTGGGGCTCAATTGGTGCGTGTGCCATGCCAAGTCCACGTCGAGGGTCGGCACGGCAACCTTGGTGGGATGGGCCGCCATGATGCCAAAGAATCGATGGTATTTGGCAAGCAACCGCGCCATTGTATTACTTGCCGAGGGGCTGTGGAGCCAATCGATCGTGATCATCTTCTCGATGAAGCTGCCTTGTCGAATGACGGCGCCACAGAGGTCGAGTGCGAACGGGGAGAAGTTCTCCCAGTAACAGCGCATCATCTTCCGGACGGAGAGGCGGGCAGCCGGGTCGAGTCTGTACCGCCTGACGGCCATATTCACTCCAGTCAGGCCGTCGATTGTACGGATTGCCGCGTTGGAGGCCAGGACCTGCTCGATCATGTCGCGGACAGTGGCCATTGTTGGATGCGGGGTCATGCCCGGCTTGATCAAGTCGATAATCTGGATGCGCAGGACGTGCTGAAGCATCCTGTTGGGGAATGTTCGCGGGAACATGCGATTTGCACCGAGGTGCCAGCCCGGAACGGTCTCAGGCATCCCCGAGCTGGGCTCCAGGATGGTCCCCGGCATGGGCCGCTGTCTGGCCAGGAGGGCTTCGGTGTCTTTGCAAAATCTGGAGACGGAGAGCAGTTCTTTGTCAATGAAGACGGCGCACGCTGGGCATGTGAAGAGCAAGCTGCCGTCACCGTAGCCATTGCCGAGGATCCCCGGCAGCTGCTCTCCGCTATAGTTCTCGTCAACACCGCACGTGGTCCAGGGTATCGATACCAGTGTCTTGCACGCCGGGCAATTCAGCGATTTGAAAAAAGGATCATCGATGCTGTCCCACGAGTGACCTGTGCGGCCCACCCAGGCCGCCTTGCAGTCGTCCGAGACCTTGTAGACGAAATCGATATTGATGCTGCTGTTGATCAGACGCCACGGCATCCCGGAGGTCCAGAGCTGCCTCAAGCCTCGCCGCATACAGTCTTCAAAGAATGAGCGGGGGTTGAGCATATGCGCATGCCAGACCATCAAGACGTCTAATTGAGGGTCAGAGATTGCAGATTAGCAGCTAACCCATCCCGACGCTCGTCAGGGGGCCAGTAGTGAGCGTACCAAGGGGTGGGAGCATGGTGTCGTTCCACATCTCAAAGCTCCCAGGCTTGTCGGCGAACCCGGTGTATTTGGGCGAGAATGGTGTCACCATGTCATGCTGCAACAAGGCACCACTGCTGGGCAAGGAATCCCACCAAGCTTCGTATCGATCGACAGCTCTTGCGACGAACAGCGCCCATCGTTTCTCGCGCAACTTGCTCAGAATCGCGAGCCTCCCGTCGTTGGCATTCTTGACATTCTTGGCGGCATCGGCAGTGTCCGAGCCTTCGGGCGCAGGGCCATCGGCACGAGTGTCCCAGATACCCCAGATGCCATCCGTGTAACCAATCTCTTCCTTCATGGTCTGGATGGCAAAGAGCAGCTTCAGGTGTGCAAGGCACGTGTCAACATCGGGATCTTGGGGTGTGGCTGGCAATTTGAGATTCTCAAATGCAGCTGTCAGGCTGACCCCTTCCCCTCCCTCCCCCTCCTCCTCTTCCAAAGTCAGTGTCTGGTCATCGCGAACAGACTGGTCATTCGCAGAGGCACCATATGATGGTGGAGCAGCAGCACGCGTAGTGGTCGAGGACGAAGCTTTGGCCAGTTTACCTTTCTTGAAGAGGGAAGACATGTTTGCGTCGACAGTCTCCCAGTCTCCCCTGGCCTAGCCGCAGTTCATTCGCAGGACGTCGATCTCTCACGACGCCTGCTTGCGGGGTGCATCCTAGGTAGTCTTTAAATAGGACCGCGTCGTCTCCGCCAAGCTGGGAGGGAGGCTTCCGTCGTCTGGGAAGCTGTGGGTGGTCCGTGCGCATAACCCACCTGGCTAAGCCTCTCCGAGACTCGACTGGAATAGGTTACACATGAGTATCCAGCCTAAAAGCAGGAGGATTGCATGAGCTGACACTTGGCTTAGCACCGCCAAGGAAGGCTTAGTTAGGCCTGCAGCAAATCTGAGAACCCGAACTTGGAGCTATTGCGGCGATACCGGAATGCTAAACTGCGCCTCCCGCTCGACATACACAGCCGTGCCCGACACCGACACCAACGCGAATCCCATGACCTCGCTCTCCCCAAAGCTCATCCCTATGATGGCGTTGCCGCCCCGAGTGATGCAGTCCATCGTCATGCGCTCCGTCGCCTGGGCCCGCGCATCGTACAACATGTGCGTCAGGGTGTTTGCCTCGAGTCCCGTCCCGGCGACTTTCAGGAACGACTTGCTGTCCTTGCGCGCGATCGTGGCCATGCCGTAGACGGTGCCGATGAGCTTCACCGTGTGGTAGCCGGGTAGGTAGGGAGTGGTCGAGGTCGGAACCGAGGCTACTCGGCTGTGTGGCTCGTCTTCTCCGTAGACTGCTCCCGGAATTTGTGGTTGCGAGCCAGGCGTGTAGGCAGAGCGTGGGCGACTGAGAGAGACGGGAACTATGTTGGTTGAAGGGATCGAGAGCATGGAACGGCGATTAGACAACATTTTGAATGGTAGCCAGTACAGCAGCTCAACAGACTTGGGTAGGTAGGTAGGTAGGTAGGTAGGTAAATATTCGGAAAGCCCAAGTTGCTCAGACGCAGTGGAGATGCATGGAGACAGAAGTCGGGGAAAGGGAAGAGGAAAGAGGAAGAAGGAATAAGCGAGCTGAAGTGGGATATCACTTTGATATATGTACGCATGTATAGATCGCCAGGTGAGGGCTATGATAGGCACCGCATTACTACTGCGCGATCATGACGTTGGAAAGTGACACCTCAACGGGTCGAACTGTCGTCTCAGGAATGCCAAGACCCCAGAACGAACATTTGTCGCGGCTCGAGTTGCTTGCAGAAGCCCCTTAAAACATGTTGCGCAACACCACCTCGCCTTGGCAGTTCAACTCACTCTTGGCAAAGAAGCTTCAATGTTTATGCACTTGAAAAATGCCGCAGAGCAGAGCGTTGACAGGAGCTGATTTTCGATGCAGTGCAGATAAATATAGCCCTCTCTCCCCCTGGTAAAACACGCCTTTGGGAGGCCGCCATCGCCAGCACCGATACCAACCTATACGACACGATACTGGCGATCTCTAAACACGCATAGAATCCAGCTCTGCCAATCTTAATCCGCCGATCGCATAGGATCGGCAATCTTGAGGCTCCCACCTGCATTGGGGAGTTTCCACGTCGGGTAGCTCACTGTGGCTTGGCTGGTTCATCAACAGCAGCATCTCCCGTCAGGAATCCGCTCTAAAGGGCATCTAAACACAGACTGCCGAGTTCCTAAACCGCATAATACAGGACAAAGAGGCTTATGATGAACAACTGTTGAAGATGATAATAACCAAGCCGACCTCTGCTCTTAAGTTGCCTTCCTCCTTTGCAGGACCCTTTTAAACACATTCTTCCCCCTAAACCTCATCCAGGTAGCAAAGTACACAACCGCATAGTTGAAGATGATAAACCCAATGAATATTCCAAAGTCACGCCAGATGTGGCTGTAGAAGACGCTGAACGTCGCCCCGAACTGGTCCCCCGTGGCGTACTGGCACAACTCGCAGACTCCACCCGCCCCGGTCTGCACATACCCCCCGGCCCGCGCGACGTAGGGCCCGGCATACCGGTCGCACGTCTGGCCCGGCGGGGACCGGAAGCGGGCGAACTCGCTCTGGCTACACTTAACCGGCTGGTCGTGGATGGAGGCGGCGAGCAGGGCCTCGAGCAGGTAGTGGAAGGGGGTGAGCCAGTACATCCAGGAGCGCCAGAAGGTGGGCAGCTGCTGGGCAGGGACGACGACGCCGCAGAAGCTGACGACGAAGATGAAGAAGACGGGCACGAGCAGCGAGGCCAGGAGCTTGTTGGGGGCGAAGGCGGCGATGGCCTGGCCGAAGCTGACGTAGTACAGCTCGAAGAGGATGATCATCATGAAGGCGAAGCCCGACGTGAAGCTCGCGGCCCGCCAGCCAAAGACCCCCCACCACCAGCAGTTGAAGTAGATGCCGCCGGCGACGATGGCGTAGGGGATCTCGGCGATGACGGCGCCCGTCGTCCAGGCCGCCCAGCTGTAGACCTTTGCGTTGTTCTCGCGCCACTGGAAGACCTGGCGCGAGTCGAGGAAGACGGGCTGCAGCTGCTGGATCAGCGGCGGGCTGATGGTCAGCGTCATGAAGATGGAGAAGAGCCGGTTCTGGTAGTCGATGGACGTGCGCCCCACGTGGAAGAAGGTGAAGCAGTTGAACAGGCCCGTCAGCACGTGCAGCATCATCTTGCCGAACACGTAGTTGGGCCGCCGCCAGTACCCCACCAGCGACCGCCGCACCACCGCCCGCGTCTGCGCCCCCAGCGGCATCGCGTACTCGCGGTCGTCCGAGAGGCTCGGCGGCGGCTCGGCGGTTCGGCGCTGCGAGATCATGTCCTCCATCTCCCGCGACCGGTCCTTCCTCTCTGGTGACTGCATCCACACGTCGCCCCAGTCTTGCCCATGGTAGTCGGGGTCTCCCGCGCCGATGGAATCCAGCATGTACTCGGCCGGGTTGGCGGTGGGCGGGCATTTGGGCGCCCCGTTGGACTCGAAATACTGGATCAGCTCCTTGCTGTCATGGCCGAGAGGCCCGTGGTAGACGACACGGCCGCCGGACTTGAGGAGAAGAAGCTCGTCGAAATATTCAAACAGCACCGCCGACGGCTGGTGGATGGTGCACAGCACCGCCTGGCCCGCATCGGCAAGCTTGCGCAGGAATCGGACAATATTGAAGGCGGCTCCGGAGTCAAGACCTGAGGTTGGCTCGTCGAGGAACATCAGCAGCTCCGGCTTGGACGCCAGCTCCACGCCAATGGTCAGCCGTTTGCGCTGCTCCTGGTTCAGTCCCTCGCCGACTTTGCCAATGGTGGCACCGGCTATGCCGCGCATCTCGAGCAGGTCGATTATGGTCTCGCAGTAGTCCATCTTCTCCTGAAGCGGCACTTCGCGGGGCTGCCGAAGCTGGGCCGAGAACTGGAGAGCCTCGCGAACGGTGGCTGTAGGCTCGTGGATATCCATCTGCTCGGCAAAGCCTGTGGCTCGCTGGAACGATCTCGGCAAGGGCCGGCCGTCGACTAGGAACTCGCCCGTCACAGTCCCGAAGTTGAGGCGCTGGGCTAGAGCATTTAGTAGCGTCGTCTTGCCGGCACCTTTAGTCATGTTAGCAACGACAGACACTGCTTGTCGAGGTTCCAAACCATTCCATCTCAAGGGTGATTACCTACCTGAGGCCCCCATAAGTGCCGTCAGCTTCCCTGGCCGCACGTAACCCTGGACATCCTGCAGCAGCTGCTTATGCCCTTTCTCGAAAGGGATGGCGTAGTTCACGTCGCGGAAGGTAAAAACGGTCTCGTTCTTCGCAACCTCCTTCGCAGCATCTCCATTGCCGTTCTCACTCGTCTCCCCACCGTCGGCCACCGCCGGCGTCACCTGTCCAGACTCCTCATCGACGCTCTTCTTCTCCCCCTTCCTCTCCCGCCCACCCGTGGCAATCGAGGCCTCGACCGTCTTGGGCACCTGGCCGCGTTTAAACACGGTGGTGGAGCCGCTCCCCATATTGGGCTTCATCATCTCCATGCCCAGCGCCGTCAGGAAGACGAAGAACAAGAAGAAGGCCCAGAGGAAGCCAAAGTTGCGCCACAGGTGAGCCCGCGTGTACGAGAAAGACGACTTGATGTACGCCGAGCCCTGGACGGAGGTGTCGCCCAGCGTCGCCCCGGCGAGGGTGCAGCCCTGGAACTGCGGCTGGGTGCCGGGCCCCGAGGGGACCAGGTACGGCGGCACGCACAGCAGGTCGAGGCCGGCAAACTCGTTGGATATGAGGCACTCGAAGCCGTACTGGATCCAGTTGATCCAGCGCAGCCAGCTGAACCAGGGGTGCATGGAGCCCGGCGGGATGAGGTAGCCCGTGTACACGACCACGATTTGCACCGCCACGCCGGTGAAGCGCGTCGCCGTGTCGAGGGTCGTGCACCAGGCCGAGATGGCGCGGAAGAAGGCGTACGTCACCATGGTGACGAGCCAGAGGATCAGCGTGGCGATGAAGAACTGCGACGCCGTGCGCGACAGGTGCGCCATGAAGTAGATGATGATGTTAAACAGCACCACCTGCATGAAGACGAGCGGCACGTCGACGACGGTCTGCGCGATGGCGAACGCCGCTGGCCGGTAGAAGGAGAAGGACTTGTGCTTGAGCAGGATGGGCTTCGACTCGAAGGCCGCCGTCTGCTCCGCCAGCGCCAGCAGCGCGTTGAAGAGCAGCAGGAAGAAGAGCGTGCCGCCCCGCGGGAACGCGCCCGCGGCCGTGCTGGGCAGGTTGAAGAAGAGGCTGCCGACGATGAGGCCCTGGAACAGCACGCCGCCCCATTTGCCGAACAGCGACGCCCTGTCACCGGCCAGGACGTGGAACTGCCGCCGCGTGCACGCGATGACCTGCTTGTGGAAGGGGATCTCGTAGTTCTTCTGCTGCGACTTCTTCGACTTGTTCTGCTGCCGCTGCCGGCGCTGCTCGGCCTGCTGTCGCACCTCGGCCGCGAAGTCGTCCATGTCCCGCAGGTTCAGCCGGTAGGCGTCGCTCCCGCGGTACGCCTCGTCGAACTCGCCCGCCGTCCGCGGGATGCGGTCCTCCCACCCGGACCGGATGCTGCGCTCGTGCTCGTCCGTGACCGAGGTCAGGAAGTCGGCCGTCGTCCACCGCTCGGGGCAGTCGAAGCCCAGATCGAGGAAGTACTGCTTCGCCTTCTCGGCGGGGCCAAAGTACAGGCACCGGCCGTGGTCGATTAGTAGGACCTTGTCCACCATCTCGTACAGCGTCTCGCCGGCCTGGTACAGCGACACGGCGGTGGACGTCTTGGCCATGTTGGTCATGGCGCGGATTGACCGGAGGTACTCGACCGCTGTGCTGGCGTCGAGGCCGCGGCTCGAGTTGTCCCACCCCTGCACCGACGCGCGCGTGATCATGGCCTCGGCGATGCTCACCCGCTTCCGCTCGCCGCCCGAGACGCCCCGGACGAACTCGTTGCCGACCTTTGTGCCGAGGGTGTGCTCTATCCAGAACAGCTTGGTGACGACCCTCAGAAACTCCCTGACGTAGTCGCGGCGGCTCTCGCCCTCGAGTCTCGATTCCTTCCCCGGGGTCCTCGTCTGGAGCGCAAACGTCAAGGTCCTCCGCACCGACAGGGTGGCGTAGTGCAGGTCATCCTCGGGGTTGTAGATGACCTCTCCGCGGAAGTCCCTAGCCACCGTCTTCGCATCCGTACCGCCGTACGTCACCTCCCCCTCGACGGCCTCGAACCCAGCCCGCTGGTTACAAAACGCCTTGAGGAAGGTACTGCACCCGGCGCCGGGCCGCCCGAGCACCAGAAGCAGCTCCCCGGGCCGCACACAGCCATCCAGGTGGCTGATGAGCTCGCGGACGGGCGGTTTCGCGACGGCGGCCCGGGGACCCATGGTCGCCATCCGGTGGAGCAAGCGCGGCAGGCCGAGGAAGAAGTCGCCGACGGTCGGCTGCAGGCTCGCACCCAGGCCGACGCCGCGGACGGTCAGGTCGCGGAAGACGACCCCGCGGTGCCGCGTCTTCTCCTCCTCGCTCTGCTCTCGCCGCGCCGTGCCGAATATCCGCGACATGAGCCGGTCGATCTCCTGCTGCTCCCCGGCGTCGTCCGAGCCACCGTCGCTGGTGGCGTTGGTGCGGCGTCGGGACAGAACGCGTAGGAGGTCGTCTTCGTTGCGGAAGGACGCTGATTGCTGCGTCGCCTCGTTTTGCTTCTGGTCATTGCCGGTGGCTGCTGTCTTCAACGGTTCATAGCGAGTGTCGCCGGGATGAGATGTCGTCGTCTTATCGTAAGGAGCCGAATCTGGCCTCTTGGCATCGGTCCCGCCATCGGCTGTAGTTGAGATGCTGCTGGACGAGTAATTCGCTTCCCCCGAGAGGGCAGAGGCTCCGGAGTGTGGTTCATAAGTGCTTGTCCCCTGCTCAGATAAAGCTGAGTGCGTCTCTGAGAAGCCCCCTGGGACATCTAGATCCCGTAGAGTCGGTTTCTCGTCGTCCATGGTCACCTGAAGTCTTGAATATGGGCTACATAAGGAGCTTAATTAAACTCGAGCCAAAGAGAATAAGTCGCGATGAAAGTCTTGGCTATTTGTCCGGACACTGCATTGCTTGATATTATCAGATCGCCGGTTAGGTATCTAATTATGACGACAGGGGATCCTACTCCCGTCGCTTTAGTCAGATCGGCCCTCGGGCTCTTTCTAAACCGCGATTTATGGCCGTCCGGTTGTCTGATGCGAATCAATCCTCCAGCCCTACCGAGGTGTTGTCGTCATAGATATGTCAGCTTAGGCTGAGCTCACCCCAGTCAACCCTTCAACCCAATCCATCTGGGCCGAGAGTCTCCAACCCCATGGGACCAGCACCTTTCCCAATACGAAGGTTGGTTCGTAAATATAACTCTGATCGATACCCTGGAAAGCAAATTGTCTCGTATCAATGTTTGGGTTATAGCTTCGAAACAATGTCTCACAGTTTAACATAGGTACCTAAGCAAGAGTGGATTCTCTGCTAACACCCCGCATTTTCTATAATTAAATACCAATATGGGGTATTCGCCGTCTATCAACGCCTAATTCTCTACAAGTGGTTAGGGTGAAGACATTATTTGAAGGGCCCCCGGGGTATCCGGGTATCATCTCCTAGAAAAGAGCCCTTGGAGATGGTACCTCGGATTTAGAGCAGCTTTCCTCCGCTATAACCTAGTCGATATTGTCGGGGGGACATGAACAACCCGAAGACCGAGAGGCAAATCTAGTTCAAGGGTGGGTCGAAGTTGCTTAGATCAGAACATCGATGGTTGTGTGAAGGAGGACGCAGTAGCATCGGCTTAGGAGGCTCAACGACAATCGTTCGACTGCGTGACAGAATTCAGACTTGGAGGGAACTAGAAGCACGCCATCGATTCCCCAGCAGCGGAATGTTCGGGTGAGCTTGCTACCAATTTTATCATTTCCCAGGCGCAGAGTATTCAGAGGACGGTCGCTCTATCAGTTCAGACAGGCATAACAAGTCAGTTGGCACTTGACCAAAGATAAACCTGTGGTGAAGCCTATGTTGCATCTTCATCTTCTAAGACCTTTTAAGGGATTATTCCTAACCGTCTACATGACGAGCAAAATGTTACGATTTACCATAGAAACCCTTCCGAGTCTAGCTAGACCTACCTAGAAGTATACTTGGATATTCCCGTTGCGGCGTTATGGTTTGAGAACATAAAAAAAAGGCAAAAAAGGACGTGCGTCGGCCGGGAATCGAACCCGGGGCCCACGCATATTGGCTTGCCTATGGCAAGCGTGGATTTTACCACTAAACCACCGACGCTGATATTTTACCTTGCTCTATTTAGTTTCAAAAAGTCAAAGGTGTGTGGGAAAAATAGGATTTTGACAGGGGTGACAAGTGCATGCGGGAGGCGCCGGCGTGTGGGGCCCAGTCCGGCAGCTAATCCCAATCGGGATACCAATTCGAGCTGCGTGGGAAAGGTGTCAGCAGAATGCATCGTTCCCAGGGCCAGCAGTCCGCATTTAGGGATCTTATTGTGGCTCAGAGACAGCCTCAGTCGGATGGAGCCGGGCTCCTACGGGACGACTTGTAATTTAGGTGGTAAATGAACGCGCCGTCCTTGATCGGCGCCGTCTCCGTGCTAACGGCTTAGGCACTTATATAAACATGGCAGAAACTCCTCTTCAGATTGCCATGCTCCCTTCACTGGGACAAGCAAACTCGAATTGGTTGTATATAAGCCCCATCGTTCTGTCACTTACTAGATATCTCCAACTTATGGGTGCCCACCAGTCCAAGCATCGGGATGAGGATCACGTCTGCCCGGTTCACGACCTGGCCGAAAGTAAGGAGCACAGGAAACTCGGAGCAACTAGAAATCGATTCTGATCTTGAGACTCGCAGATGCCTCCTCCCCTCTCTACGGAGACACGTCCTTCTACGACTTCAACAAGATCTTGTCAGGCAGCTGCGCCACGTTCGCCTGCGGAATCATGTTGGTCCACATAATTAGACACGCGAACCATCTCAGCAATCCTGGCGAACAAGTCAAGTAAGACTCCACTGCAAACAGATTGTCACACGGTGGACTACTGACCCTTGCCCGCTTCAAAACCAGGATCATGAGAATCGCCCTCCTCATCCCGCTCAACTCCCTCTTTTCCTTCCTGTCGATTTGCTACCCTGCGGCGAAAGTCTACCTCCTCCCATGGCTCGACGTCTTCCAGGCGCACGCGCTGGCGTCCTTCTTCCTGCTGATGTGCGAGTTCGTCTCGCCGAGCGACGACCAGCGGACCATCTTCTTCGCCGCCATGGCCATCCCGGACAAGAAAGCGCCCGACGGGGGGCAGGACGGGCTGGCTTGGTACCGAGTGAGAAGATAGCCTGCCACGTCCCTAGACTCACGGCTTCTCGTATAGCTGCTAACCCGCCATCTGCCCGTGTGGTAGAAACGCTGGATCCTCATCTTCCAATACCCCGTGGTCGCCTTCGCGGCGGCGGTCCTGACCGATGTCACAGAGGCGATTGGGATTTACTGTCAGTACGAGACCAAGCCGTACTGGGCTAAGTTATGGGTTAGTTCCGGCCCCGGGAGTCCAACAAAGTCAATCTGCTTATCTAACCGCGTGTCTTCCCTTTCCCGCAGATCACCGTCGCCCGCGACATCTCCGTCGCGATGGCCATCTTCTCCGTGATCGCTTTCGCCATAACACTGAGGCCGCATCTCGCCGGGAAGAAGCCGTTGGCGAAGCTGATTGCGTTTAAGTTGATTGTAGCCCTCAGCTTTGTTCAAGATGTGAGATGGCCCTTTCCCCATGTCTCTTATATCACTGCCTTTGGCTGGCATGATATGTAGCTCGAGCTGACAAACAGCAACGTGCAAACACAGCTCACCTTCTGGATCCTCGACATCGCCAAGGCGCTCAAGCCCACCTCGACGCTGACCTACGCAGACCTGCACATGGGGATCCCCAGCATGCTCAGCTGCATCGAGATGGTTCCCATCTGCCTTCTGATAGCCTGGGTCTACCCGCTATCCCCGTACCTCCTGCGCTGCGGCCGCGACCGCCGCACGCCTGCCGCCGAGCGGGGTCGCGCGACGGTGGACTACCCGCGCAGTTACCAGGGCGGGCCGCTCGGTGTGTGGGGTTTGCTGGCCATACTGAGCCCCCGCGAGAATATCGAGTGCCTGGTCTTCGCCTTCCGTATGGCCGCCGAGAGGGGGCGGCTCGGGGACGGCGCCGACTACAACACCCCCGGAGAGTATAACTCTTTGGTCGAGCCATGCGGCGTGCCAAGAGGGTGATTGATCTTTTTCCTTCTTATCAACGGGGACTACTATGTAGTTGCGAATGCTAATATCCTAGCCCGCGGATTGGCGGTGGATATCATGGTAGGGTGAGACTGGGAGCTAAATATGGATGTCAGTGGTGGTATTATTGTCAGCTTATTTGACATAGGGTGCTGTGAAGGACGTAGATCGATTAGATCGGGCCCTAGCTAGTACCGTACGGAGTTTCGGCATGGGTTTCTTTGGCAGTTTGGCATACATATGGGGAGACGAAGATTATGTAGTGGGAGAGAGATCATCGTCGTCGTCAACCAATTGTTTAAATTGAAGTCAGCCGTTCGTTACCCAAAGATATGTTACCAACCGTACAAAGAGTCTGCATGGATCTAGTCCGACTTCTGGCCCCCTTTGGCAATCACTCCCCACAGAACCACTCATCTTTGAGAAGCTCCCCGGCTGTCGGTCTGTCCCTCGGATTTAATTGCATGATCTTGCAAACAAAGTCTTTGTCCTCGTTACATATCTCCCTCTCTGTGGTAAAGCGAAAAGGCTTCAGAGTCTCCCTAGGCGTGGTGTTCATGATCCATGCGAGCACACCCAGCCGCTCCTCGTCTGCGATCTGTTCATATGATACGGGAGACGGCCCGAAGCACTGATGATGTTTCCTAAGAATCTTGATGGCGTATTCGTCGTGATCAACTGGGACATCAGGCTTGAACAAGTGAAAATTCTCACCGTACATGAGACTGACCAGCTATGTATTGCCAATCGGTGTTAGGAGCAAACTTAACTTGGGGGAGAAGGCAATACTTGCCGTGGCGCCGAATGCCCAGATATCTGTTGACTTTCCCCATCTTATCTGGATATGGGCCTCAGGGCTGCGAAAGATTGGCGTTCCGATGGGGTCCCCGTTCAAAGCGTATTGGGATTCCTCCGGTACAGTGCTCCCGAAGTCGCACAGTTGGATATCCGTAAAGCGTATTTTCTCATCTGCGCCATAGTTGACAAGCACATTACTTGGCTTGATATCTACAGGAAGATTGTAAGCAGCATTATACTCCAAAGTTGAAAAGTAATTACTACCTGTGTGGACGAAAGCCTCGCTATGCAAGACGTCCATAGCTTCCAGCACACGCCTCGCCACAAACTTCACCTCTGGTCTGGAAGCCTCTTTCTGTTAGAGGATTGAAGTAGGTCGTCTTCCAGATATCTGAGAACGATGGCAGGAGATTCTTCGATCTCTTCGAGGAGCGGTCGTATGTATGGGGTCTTTGACTGGAAACGCAGCAGGACCTCGAGCTCATTTTGGAGGCGAAAGTGTCGAACACTCTTGAAAATGACCTTGTCTTGATTCTGTCTGGTTGCTAGAATGAAAACATCCCGTTAGCCGGCTTTGATGATTCAATGTAACGGAACTCGACTCTCCATGAAGGGAGAAAAGGTGCAATACCTCGCAAGCCAAACGCATTTCCGGAGCTGCTTGGTGAGTGTATAAACTCCAGTTTTGTTGCTGATTGATTCGCCAACTTTGAAGACGGTCGCAGACATCTTTGCTGATGGAGAAGACACAGCAAGTGAAAGGAGTTTGAGTCAATACGCCTGTCGATCGCAGTCTCTTTAGGTGAGATGGGGGACTTCCTATTGGCGGATATGCACTCACTAACCCCAACCCGCCAGCCATTCGCATGGAAGCTCGCAGCAGGCAAACGCGGGTGAACCCTAGCGCGAGGCACGCTCAACCGTTTGGTGGGGGTCTCCCGGCCTATATGTCCCATCCGCTAACCCTAAACAGACGACCATTCTGCGAGAGGAATGACATGTCAACTCTAGACCGTTAAATCAGATGGCCGCGTTGTTTGTGTGACATAAGAAGAAAGTCCTGGCCACCTGCTATTGGCGCGATAGTCATGCCAAGGAGGAACAGTTGTCCAAGTGAGGCAACTGCGCCTTTGATCAGAGAATAAAACCACCCTACCTGGCCATTAATTACTCCCCCACATGCATTCATTCTTCACGCGACTTTTGGCTGTTTCTTCTTCTTCGACCCTATATCACCATATCTTATTGTGATTTCCACCATGTCTGATAACAAGGCTCCAGGGACAGTCGGGGCAACTACCCCATCCCCGAAAGGAAGCAAACAGGGGAGTCCCAAATCGCCGAAAACACAATCGCCTGCCGGCATGCTTCCCGGAGAACACTGGATCCAGGCCGCAGAAGTAACGATGACCGCCTGACATGCGTCCTTGTACCCGATAATTGGCTAAGCGGCGACCCTAGGAACTCGCAGCTGAAGACGATGACCACGACTCGGCCCTAGGGGACGACGACGTGGATGGCTCAACGGCGTCCATTTCGTCCAGCATTCTTCAATACAGGACGATCCATGGAAGGACATTCCACTCCGAGAGGGGTGACGCACACTCATGGTAGATTGGGCACGCAGACCCCTTTACAGCCGTAGATCAGCTGGCTGATCTGGGGTCGAACATGAAAGGATCCCCAACGACGAGAAACAGAACGAGTCCATGGACATCAAGTGAGACGAAATCATCGTGTTTGGTGGTGTAAAGGAGGTCCGCTGATCTCGACAGTCACCATCTGCTCACCCTTTCTCTTGGCAATAAACTGCATCTTGCGCCTCTGAAGAAGGATATCGAGGTTCGAAATCACAGGTCTCCTTTAACATACCGTTGAGCAGATGGCTAACCTATCATTTCAGAAAGCACTTGACATTGGAACCGGTACAGGTAAGGGAGCTGCTGCGTTAACCCAGACTACCCACTATTGGATATTTGCCAGTTTTGATAACGCATAATTAACAGGCATCTGGGCAATGTACGCTCCAAAACCCATCATCTCTCAATGAACCGGGAACTGACCGACATACCCAGTGATTTCGCCGACGAGTATCCCAACACCGAGGTCATAGGCACAGACATCTCGCCCATCCAGCCTACCTGGGTCCCCCCAAACCTGACATTGTAAGCCTCACTCCCCCTCCGCAGATCCGCGGTTACAACGAAACTTTACATCCTTTTCCTGCTAATTAACCGCCAATGCCCCCCAGCGAGATCGAGGACTGCACCCGGCAATGGACCTTCCCCGCAGACTCCATCGACTACGTGCACATGCGCTACCTTTTCGGCAGCATCGCCGACTGGGGCGCGCTCTTCAAGGAGGCGTTCCGGGTCTGCAAGCCGGGCGGGACCGTGGAGAGCTACGAGGCCTCGACGGCCTTCGAGAGCGACGACGGCAGCGTCTCCGACACGAGCGCCATGAACGAGTGGGCCAAGCTGTTCACCAGGGGCGGGAAGCTGCTGGGCCGGCCGTTTACGGTGCTGGAGGAAGATATGCAGAGGAAGTACATGGAGGATGCTGGTTTTGTGGATATACAGGTTTGGGACTTCAAGGTGAGTGGGATTTCGTCTTGGCTACTGCTGACTTATATATCGGTAAAGTGGCTGACATTGGAGATGTGATCTAGGCACCGGTTGGTGGCTGGCCTCGGGACCCCAAGCTGAAGGAAATAGGCCGGTTTGCTCAACTGGCGCTTGAGCAGGACTACGAGGGTTACGTGCTTTACATGGCGGACATAGCACTAGGCTGGGGCGCGACTGAAGTCGGCGCCTATTGTGCGCTACTGCGCCGTGAGATCCGCTCTGGGAAACATCATCCATACTACAGACAAAGGGTTGTCTGGGGGCGGAAGCCGGAGTCGTCTTGATCATGTTTGGTTGCTTTTGTGGATGGGATTTGATACTGGGAGGCGGAGATCCCCACATGAACCAGATCACCATTATCACTCTTACTGATCCCCGGGCTCAGATGCATGGGATGGGCCAACCCAGTTATACCCCTCAGCTTAGTAGACATCACACGAACCTAGCGCAAGGGTGTCAGCATCGGTCTGGATCTGTATCACGCCAGTAACGTTCTTCCCAGGCAAGAAAGCTGTGAGTGATAATCGAATTTTATCCATCAATCTCAGGGGTTACGCAGCTAGCCGACGTCTCCCCAATCCTTCCCCATTTCAGACCATTACCAAACACGATACACAAGATCCCTTATCCGAGTAGCCTCCTCCCTCGTAACCACCCACACAAGCTGCATCGCCAGCCCCAAGTCCTCCAGCGCTGACAACTTCAACGGATCCAGCACCACCCCCCTAGCAGCAAGCCTCTCCGCCGCCCACCCCGGAAGCGGGCACCCCGGGGTCCTACGTCCCCAGCTAGAGTCATTCCCATGCACATGCGCCAGCCCCGACGGCCGGACCTCCTCCTCCTCCTCCCACACCGTCGGGTCCGCGCGAGACTCCGGCACGGCGTCCATCAGAACGGCGACGTCGGCGACGTGGAACGAGCACTCGCGCCACGCGATCTCGGCGTCGGGCGCGGCGCGGAGATGGTTGGTCACGCCCTCGGTGTTGTGGCTGAACAGCAGGACTGTTTCGCGTCTGTCGTGCTGCGGCGCGTCGGGGGAGGAGTCGTCTTGTTGGTCGACGAGGTACTGGAGCAGGGAGCGCTGTCGGTCGAAGGTTGGTCCGACTTGGGATTGGTAGAGCACTTGGATGATGGTCGCCGTCCGCTTGGCGGCGTAGGCTGATGCCCTATTTGAGAACCCGGTGAGGAAGATGGACCACGCAGTGACGGTGTGGTAATGCGGTCTGGGCCTTGTGATAGTCGCCGCATTTGTATCTTCAGTTCCGGCCTCGTTTGGTGGGTCGGCTGGGCCTGTTGTCTTTCCGGAGGGGCTCAATGGCCCCTGAGCGAACAGGGAGTCCCAAGCCCGTTTTTCGAGTACCTGGACTCGGGAGTCTAGCCATGCACCCCGGCTGCGTAGAAAATCGATGGATCTTGTATTGAGGGGTTCGTTTAAGAAACAGGAGGTTAAGGCGGTCATCAAGAGATTTATCTCGGGGCATGCGGCCGATATGCTGGCTAGAGCTGTGCTGTCTGGGATTCTCTCGGCGATGAATTCCGGTCGACCGACCGACAAAGCAAACCTCGCGAAGGCTAAGCCGTCGTCCTCCTCCACACGGGGGACATGGTATTCTTCCTCCTTGGATGGTTTCGCAAAGTACCCCGTCGGCAGGATTCGCCAACCCCCGCCAGTATTGTGCATGGCGATATGGAATTTACGTAGGGTTTGGGCAGATAGCTGATCTGCTAAAGGTAGGACCGTCTTACTCAGGCTATCCAGCACATCGGCCCGTGGATAGCAGTCCAAGGCACGAGCGAAAAGAAGTTCTGCAATTCTCAGTCGAGCATACGCGTCGACCCTGCCGCCCAGGGACTCATCCCACGAATCCAACTTCCGGTGTTCGGTGAGGTACGCGTGGACGGAGCGGTGAAAGAACTGCAACTGCAACTGGAAGAAAGGCTCCTCCTTGGGGTTTCCTTCCGAAACTTCCACAAGACCCTTGGTGATGCCGTAGATCTGTCTCCTCAGCCGCTCCTGTCGACTGGACATCTCATCCATCGAATAGAAACGGCACTTATCCGGCATTGGGAAGTTGGGGTCCTTCAACTCGTCCAGCCAGTCGACCATCAGGGCGTTGAGGGCCGACTCAAACGGGTTGTGGAGAACGAGCATCAGTAGTCGGTCTGCTCGTCGGCGATCAACCGCATCCAGGGATCCCAGGATCTGATCATACAGGAGGTCCAGGTCGCTGGGGATCTCCTCCAGCTTGAGCGCGAGGGTCTCATCCGTGTCGAACCGCCCAATCGATGAAAGCAGCGATCTGACAACGAGGCGCGCCCAGAGGAAGACGCCCTCGGATCGGGACACAATCTGGTCCACGAGATCATCGGGAGGTGCCCGGCCGAGATGCTGATTTGCCTCAAATTCATGGCGACAGTACGCCTCAATGTCTTCCATGTTGATTGCATGGAGATGTATTCGGCTGGACTTGGGAAAGATGGCCAGGAATTCCGTATGCGGCCTCGAACTGACGCAAATCTTGATGTTCGGCTGTTGCGACCACGTCCTCAGGTCGGCCGCAAGACCCCAGTGGTCCATGCTGTCACCATAATACTCGTCCAGGCCATCGACGAACAGGCAGACAGCGTGGTTCGCACCGGAGCACTTCTCGATGAGGGTGTGGAAAGACTCCTTGATCTTTGGGAGCCTGAACAGTGATGCCGTCACTGCCGGCTCGTCGGCTGCGCCTGCTGCCAGCAAGCTCCACTGCTCCGGAAAGACGAGTGGGATGAGCTCGGGACTCTGCCGTAGGACGTCGAATAGGATGGACCGGTAGAGTCCATGGAGGGACCTTTGCATGTCATCTCCGGCATGCCAGAAGAAGTACTGGGAGACGATGAGCCTGTTGCTGCCGGCCCAGGTCTCGAGCCTCTGTTTCACGCTTGGATCCTGGCAGATCAACTTCATCAATGTCGACTTGCCGGAACCAGCCTTGCCAGATATGTGGAAGATCTCGGCATCTGAGGTGAGCCAATCAGAGAACTGGGCGGTTGCCTCCGCACGGGGGTCCGGCTCACCCGGACGCTCACTTTTGGTCTCTGTGGAAGAATCGACAGCTTCGCCGTCTTGGCCGCCAGAGCCATCCGCAGGCTCTTCGAGTATCCACTTGAATGTCCCAGCCTCTGCGTCCTTGATGCCGTCCTCTCTGGAGTACATGGAATTGAAAAAGAGATTCCGGAGGATGCACATCTCACGGGGCAGCGTCTCAGCCACGCCCCGGAGAGATTTCAGAGAGTCAACAATTGCCCTCGGACTCCCGGGCTCGTCTTGAAGTTTGAGGCCCTCAAGCAACCCCACGATTTCGTTGCGCAGGTCTCTGAGCTCATCTGATCGTGCCGCAGACAGCTTCTGGCCCTCGATCTGTATGCTGTCTAGTCGCGATTTGACGGCTGACTGTTGATCACTAAATGATTGGACTTCTCGTCAGCTGAACTGTACGACTAAATACGGTATGACCGCTTGTCTCGCCCACCTCATGAGCATGGTCAATCGCATGAGAATCTGCGAGCGGTATTCTCCCAGACGCTCTTCGATGGATGCGATATCGTCCTTCTTCCGCATACTGTTCCACTTGGCCACCAGGGCGCTCCATTTGGGGTTCCTCTCCGAGGCTTTCAGCTTCTGAAGGATCTCAAGCAGCTCCTCGGATAGGCTGACGCAGTTGGCGGCGAGGCGCTTGAGTGCCCTCTCGTGTTTCGAGTTCCCCAGGCCTTCCGTGTCCAACTCATCGGAAAGGTCTATCAAGTCCTCGATGACATTGCCAATGTGCGCGTTCTCCTTGGTTGTCCCGCTGGCAGAGTTGTAAATCTCAATACTACCCGAGGTGATGCGCCAGGCAAAATCAATGAGTTGGATGATTCCCGACGCCAGACCGACCGCAGATAGAGGATCCATCATCTGCCAGGCATACAAGTCACGCCAAGCGTTTTACCCCATATGAGATGTGGCTTTGTGGTGTGGAAGTGCGGTTTTTTTTTTTGTAGTCCTTGAGGGGTAAACAGGAGTCAGCCCTGCCCAAACCCCTGCCCAATGAAGTGGATACATTCGCAGGTTGATCCTGCAAACTAGGTCCACTCTCACGCGGTGTTGGCCATCCATTCGAGGATCCGTGTATTCAGCATCTCACCTCTATAATCCCCTGACCCAAAGGCAAGCTCACAATGTCCATCAATGGGAATACCGACCGACCTCTTTGTCCTTGGCATTCACCGAGAGTCCTTGGGGTGCCCAGATCCGGTATAATTAGCCATGTCTAAGCGTTCTGGCCAATATATCCGTAGACTGTAAGCTAGCAACTGCGGAGGTCCGGTAGCCCAGTTCGTGGCAGCCGTCCTTAATTGCTATTAAAAGCCCCCCAATAGCTAATAATGCAGGCAACTAACCGTCCATGCTTCATGTGTCCGTGGATGTTCCCGCGCGAACCGCAGCCTTTACCGAAAAAGTGGCACGCACCAATTGTCACCAATGGGAGCAACCTCATTTGCTGGGTCAATGAACCTCGAGTAGTCAGAGCATCAAATTAAGCATAATCACCCATGACCATGAACACGGAGCCGTATGATTGGGATTGGGGTTAGCTTCTTAAACCGGGGACACCATCTTTGGTGCTAATCAATTATCCATATTAAAGTAGCAAAACTTCTCGGTTTGGCTTCCGTATAAGTCCGGGGTGTGGGAAGTGGCTGCCCCAGCGTCTCCCTTCTCTCGCTGCAGTGCCGCAAGTCAACTTACTTTCCACGATGCATTCTCCGGTTCTCGCCCTCGTCGCATCCGTCCTGGCTCTCGGGGTACACGGGCTTGCCAACTTTCCCCATGAGGCTGTCCAACTGGAGGATCGCGACATCGGTGACTTCTCTGCCATAGCATTTGGCGGCAACTCCCTGGTGAGAAGGGGCGACCAGCCAAAATGTAGGGCTTTCCCCGGCAGCGAGGACTGGCCGGCTACAGACGAATGGGATCGTCTCAATATGACCCTGAACGGTGCTCTTCTTAAGCCCGTCCCGGCTGCATCAGTCTGCTATGCCGGACCAAACCACGACGAGGACCGGTGCAATTTCCTGCTCACGGATGCGAGCGCGACTCTATTCTACAACGATGACCCTCTCACGGTCTTGTCGCAGTGGACCCAGGGTAATACCTGTCTCGTCGCCGAGGATCCAGCGGGGAATTGCACTCAGGGCGGCTTCCCTGTCTATGTTGTCAATGTCACGACAACCAAGGATGTTCAGGCTGCAGTTAACTTTGCAAGGAACTCGAATATCCGACTTGTGATCAAGTAAGTCCCGGACTCGAAGGAAATTCCAAGTTCGCGAGAGGTTGACTGTATTTTAGGAATACCGGCCATGATTTCCTGGGCAGATCCACCGGCGCAGGATCTCTGAGTGTTTGGACCCATCACCTCAAGAGCTTTGAGCTTCTGCCCGACTACACCCAAGGCGAATATACAGGAATGGCAGCTCGAGTCGGTGCGGGTCTTGAAACTTGGGAGGTCTACAACCTTATGGATCTCCATAACATAACCCTCGTTGTTCCATACACCTTCACGGTAGGCCCCTATGGAGGGTTCACCACCGGAGGGGGTCACTCGACGTTTGCCTCTTTCTACGGCCTAGGCTCCGACCAGGTGCTCTCTATAAACGTGGTGACGGCCGATGGCGAGTTTGTGACAGCTGACACAACCAACAACACCGACCTTTTCTACGCAATTCGTGGTGGGGGCGGTAGTAAGTCTTGCACCAGCAGCAACGCAGCCCGTCAATCTGGCGGACGGAGCATGCGTAGACGGTAGAATTCTAACAATTGTGACAGGCACCTTTGGCGTCGTAACCTCCTTCATCGTAAAAGCCCACCCAGCCATCGACGTCACGGTCGCAACGATGGGCTTTTCGACCAGCGCCGCATCCGGAAACACCAGCATCCCGTCGAACGAGACCGAGATATTCTGGGAGGGCATCACCACCTACTACAAGTTCGGCACCACCATCGTCGACCGCGGCGGCATGGACCGCAGCTACATCTACCCGGCGACGGACGAGGCCGGCCTCAGCTTCACCACGCAGATCGAGATGCCCAACATGACCTCGCCCGACGCCCTCGTCTTCTTCCGCGGCCTCTACGAAGCCCTCACCTCCGTCGGCATCGCCGTCTCCATGGGCGCCCCCAGCACAGGCACCTACGGCGTCTCGCAGAGCAGCGAGGGTTCGTCCCCAGCCAACATCCGCTTCGGATCTCGCCTGTTCCCGCGCGCCAACTGGGACAGCGGCGATAACAACAACAACAACAACAACAACAACAACAACAACAACAACAACAACAACAACAACAACAACAACAACAACAACAACAACAACAACAACAACAA